ATTTGGTGCTCGACCTTGCTTGTCGATTGGGGATTTATGACCAGCCCTTGGTCTCAACAGCTATCTTTCGGGCCTTTTTGGAGCAAACCCACATGGTGTTTCTCGACGGAGTAACTACCACGGGTTGGTGGAACACAATTGGCAACAAAGTTTATATTCCGAAGTCGGCACAAGAAGGGAGAATTAGATCGCCTACCCACCGCCTTATACATCGTCTCATTTCATCCACTATTAATCAAAGAAAGGATGATGACAAGGTTTCTAACCTTGATGTCTTCTATCTATGGAGCATTATTACACCCGACTTTTTTTGCAACATTCCTTGGTGTTCGGCTTCATATCTATCGGAGGGTGCGGTCAAGGATCACAAAACTTCTCGTATTAATGGTGGTATGTTTGTCACCCGGCTAGCCAACTCATTTGGGTTGATGACCCGTCGTGCATGGAACTTTATGACGATGATTCCTACACCTCCATTCAATCCAATTCTTTTCCGACGGGTCAGAATTATTGAAGATTATGGTGGTGGTCATTATGCTATCCCGCATGATGCTCCCGTTGTTGGTCCCGAAGCACCGGGAAGGAGGGTTCGATCGAGACGGGAACGGGATGTGGATGAAGAGCTGCCGGTGATTCCGGTTGAAAATGAAGAAGTACCAATGGATTGGTACAATGTGGAGATGAGGCGGCTACAGGATCAAATGGCGTGTGGGATCAACTTCAGCAATCAATTCCACATCCAATTATTCGACCACTACAACATCCAATACATTGATGGTGGCAATTATCCATATATTCCATCATGGGATGACATGATTAGTGCAGGTGGAAGTGGAGCGGCCGCGGATGATGATGATGAGGAAGATTAATTTATTTGTGTTTTTATCAAACAATATTTATTTTTATTTTTGTTTTTATTTGGTGTGTATGAAGTTGTTAAGAGTTTTATTATTTTGCTTAATGATTGTTTGCATTAGTCATTTTCAGGATTGGATTAGGAATGCTTGCATAGGAAGGGTTTAAAGTTATAGAGAAAAGGATGTTATAACGAGTGAAAGAGAGTCAAGGAAGTGAAGCGTTAAAGTCAAGTGTCAAGTCCGGTCCCTAGGGATATGAGCAATTGAGTCTAGAAGTGAGGAGGAGTTTAGAAGAGTTATTAGAGGCTGGAACAATTGCAGGATATAATGTTTTTTCGTCCAGTGGCCTACTCGTCGAGTGCACTAAGCTGACTCGACGAGTCGCCTTGTATTTTCGCACATTCTGAGATGGCCGCGCTTGTACTCGACGAGTCCCATATATGACTCGATGAGTCGATCATTTTTATACCAAAAGGACTGCCGATTTGATGCTGCTGGGTGTACCACATGACCACTTATTCTTCCATATCGATTCTTGAAGAGTTTACACTGTTTTACCTGCATATTTGGAGCTGCCACATGAGATTTTGATGCCCAAGTCATGGATGCGTTGTTTTCATGGCTAAAGTCAATTGAAGTTGGAGCTGGAAAGAAGAGTGTCAACCTATCGACTGCTACCCCAGGGGAGTTTGTTCCAATTCTCTCTATATTTGCATTTTTATTTTTATAATATGCATTGAGGGCATTGCATAAAATAAGTGTGGGGTAGGGGGTTAGTCATATATTAGAAAATTTAGAATCTTAATTTAGGCTAATTATAAAAAAATTGTTGCATACCAAAAATATTACTTAGGGATTTAATTTAGAAAATTTTGGTAAAAGAAAATTAGGATTCCATGTTAGAATTATGTTGATAATTGCATGAAAACCCAAATGTTTAGTTGAGCCTATATACGTTCTAGTGCATTTGTGGCTTCCTTATTCCAGTGAAATCATGAGACAAAAACACGACCTCGCTCAGCCTGAGGGATGCAATACGTTTAGCAGCCTAAACCTGAAATGTATCCAGGAAAATTGTTATCGTTAGCCAATAAAGGTTGAGATTGAGCGCCCCTGCTTAAGCATGTAGGGATTTGAGTGAAAAAAGTGAGGAATACATGTAAAAAAACGGGAGAATTACAAGAAAAGTTGTAAGAATTTTGGAGCAAATAAAGTGAAGATCTAAAGATCAAAATTCCAAGAAATCCAAAAAGTTGAAGATACCAAAAATCAATCAATACAAGGTGGTGAATTCAAAGAGATCAAAGATCAAATTATCAAGGAAGTGAAGAATTCAAAAGAGCTCCATAGTGGTATCGAAAAGTTGTAATTCTAGATTATGTATGCTTGGGTTGCTCAATTAAAAATACCTTGAGGGTAAGAGCTTTTCTGAGGATGGATTCGGAGGGTTGCATAAAATGAGCATAGTTCGGGGTGATTGGGCGAATGTTTATGAGGATTGTGAGTATTTGGAGTATGGGGGGTCCTTAGGAAAAAATTTAGACACAAATGCATGCGTTGTGGTCTTGGCATAATGGCGGGGTTAGATTGGAGTTGTCATGCATAATTCTAATGTTTTAAAATTCAGTTTTGCTTGGGGGCAAGCAAAAGTCAAGTGTGGGGTATTTTGATATGTGCATATTTAGTTTGTATTAAGTATAGATTTTTATTCATTTATTAGCTAAATTATTGCATTTCATGGACAAAAGGTACTTAAAAGTGTTTGAATTGTATTTTCAGTCCAAAAATGAAGCTCGCAAGCAAAAGGAAGCAGGAGAAGCGGTTAGGAGCTCGGGAATCGAATAAAGAAGAAAAATACCAAAAATAGCACCTACTCGGTGAGTAGGGTCGACTACTCGGCGAGTCCAAGTGAAGATAACGACTCGGGAACCCAGATGCTTATCGCATACGGAGATTGTGAGACGGACTCGACGGGTCGATACGCAAATATATAGATAACTTCTCAGATCGAGGAAAAAAACTTGTGGGACAATTCTAGAGTAGTTAGCTGCGATTCAGAGGCCAGAGAAACCCTAGAAGACGAAGATAGAAGCTACAATTCAATCCCGAAGGAGATTTGAGGCAAATTTCATCATTATACTTAATCTTTTGTTTTCCACTATGGTTAGACAATTTGAATTCGTTTTTATGTTGTTATTTACTTCAACCATGAGCTAAAACTCTTAACTTCTATTTGGGGATACAAAATTGAGACTATGGTTTGATTATTGGTAGGATTAATTCAATGTTGGTGATTTATTTGTTATTTTAGCTTGCTAAAGAACCTTGTGTGTGAATGATAATTAATTTTTTGTTAATAGGAAGGTAATTCAATAGCATGAACATCATTTGATTATCACCCTCATATACCTTGTGACTACTTTGTTATATGTCTAGGATTAATGAACATGAAACTAGAATTAATAAGAAATTTAAGTAAATTCATGTGCAAGCTTGTGTGATGACCATCAACAAGAAGTTAATTAAAAACCAAATTGATTAACTAGTGTGAGTCTAAAGTAATCCGAATAATTAATCTAGTGAAATAAATTGAATTAGACAACTGATCACTGTTTAAGTTAGGTTATTTACTAAGGATTAGTGTAGTGAACGCGAACCAAGTCACTTGAATCGGTAACCAACAAAAGAGTTAATGAATTGCACTATTACCTTGAAATCAACCATAGGATAAATTGAGTTGAACTAAACAGAAGTTCCTTCGTATTATTGAATCTAGTTAATTCTTTGTTTTTCTAGTTTTTAGATTAAGTAATAGTTAGTAAGTTTCTAGTCTTGTAAAACTAGAGAAAACCCTCTACTTATTAATTAATTTAGATAGAATTAGTTTTTATTTTTAATTTGCCGTTCCCTACTTATTTGACTATACCACAATTGATAGGTTCATTGCCTTTGTGTGTTTATTTTACAACTAAAAGTAGGTTTGAAACTAAGTGAGTTTACGCACATCAAGTGACTATTATAATTTGACAGAACACATTTGTATAATAATTATATTATTAATGTAATGGATGATGTTATTGCTTGTTTACTACTTTTCATTGTTGTGATACTCTACATGACATCCTCCGCCCCAGAACGTTTCCGCCGTTAATGGTTTTGGGGTGTGACAAGACTGTTTGAATTCTGTGTGGTTTTGAGGAGATGGGGCAGTTATTTTATTATGCATGGTTACTTTTTCATCATCATGATGTGGGTTTCTCGGTGACATGTCATAGACCATTAAATGCTTATCCCGCTTTGATTTCAAAATTCAGCATTACATATAAAAAGGGATTCAAGGGTTAATTATCAGTTTACGCTTTCATATTCCTAAATTTTCTCTGATAAACATCCAACTCTCAAATCCTAACAATGGCGACAGCTAATCCTGATGCAACTTTGTATCATACCATCGATGATTTAACCTCATTACCGATAATGAAGATCCAAGGAGCAAATTATCAAGTTGAAGCCAATGTATTTCATTATCCTGAAGAATTGAAAATGCTTATTGTTGCTCTGAAAAGTTCAGCTGTATCAAAAGCCATGTTCAACTCATTCTCTGTTCCTCTATCATGGTTGTCTCAAGTTGGATCAACAGCAACTTACTCTAAAGCCTTGGATGCGGTTTTGTTCAATCTTGTGACTGCTAAGAAGGTTAGACTTACAACGAAGCTTTTCTGCCAAATTCTCGATATACCTAATTCTCCACCATACGTCACATTTACATTCCACAAATTGTCCACATGTTCAATGAAATGGGTTATCAACCACAATTGACAAATATTAGTGACTTCAAGAAGTCAGGACTTCCGTGTGTTTGGAATTTTTTGTTCGGTATTTTTTTTAGCTGCTTGACCGGAAGAAATGTTGGGTTGGATAAGGGGAGGATGGAAGTTCTTGAAGAGCATATAGAACACAAATGCTATTCATGGCGTTTCGTGTGCTCCATATTGGAGTTTAATTTTACAACATTTTTATGAGAAGGAAGGAACTTTGGTACCGATAGATGAAGAAAAGGCGGTGTTTCATATTTATAGTTGTCCGAAGGATGCAGCTGATGATACTGATGATTTTCCATTTGTTGCTCGCATTCCGGATTCTATGCTGAAGAGAGTTGATCCCACCAACACCGTTTTCATTACTTACTTACAAACAATAGATACTTCTGTTGAAACTGGGGTTCTGTTGGCCAGAGAAGAAGAAAAGAAGTTGAAACCTTCGAAGAAGGTTGTTGCTGAATCTTCTAAGAAATCCATCAAAGAATCCACATCAACAAAGAGTCCAAAGAAAGTATCAATCTCAGAAGCAGAGCCAATCCAACTAGAAATTGTTGTTGTTGATACTCCTTCGACTCAAAAGGAAATCATTCCTTCGAAGACTGGGGGTTTTCGAAGAATCAAAATGAAATCTAAGCATAAGAGTCGCTCACCTTTAACCAATGTTGTTCGCAAACCGCAAGTTTCGCTTCATGGAGTCATTTTTCGTGAGATTCCTGCCCCTGCATCACCGTCTTCTAAGAAGAGAAGGGCAACAGACATGGCCAAACATATTTTAAAGAAGAAGAAGAAGGGTAGATTGATTATTTCGTCAGAATCTACAACTGATGAAAATGAAACCATTCTAGACACACCGGAAGCTGATCTTCAGAAAGATGATGTAATACTACCCGAAGTTTCGATTGCCAAGACAATTTATGTGGAGGAACAAACTTCTGACATTTTTGTTAACATATCTAATATGGATGCAAGTGTTACAATGGGTGAGGATGCTTCGCATGTTGCAGACAAAGGTAAATCTTCGGATGTTACTCCAGACACAACTGTTTCTTTACCTTCACAGGTTACACCTATCATTCCTACTACATCCACAACCGATTCTCCTATTTTTGCAAACATTATCCAACAACCATTCACATATATGCTTTCTTCATAATTAACTGATCCAACTACTACTACTTCACCAATCAAAGATTATTCTTTCATGGAAACTGAACACAAGTTTGAATGTTTTCGTGGAACCTTTGAAAATTTTGTGTTTGATGAAGAAGAGACAGACTTCCCAGATCATATGCTAATGACAATGAAAGAGTTCAAGATATTAAATACAAAACTTAATTCAATTCTTCAGTCTCAGGCAGATATTAGGGGAGGTAATTTAGTAACAAGTCTTGAAGTGGATGGTATGCTGAAGATGTTTGAAGGGAGGCTTTCTTCGAAGGTGTCCGAAATGATTAAGGATTCTGAGTCTCGTATTCTTGAGAAAATTAACATTTCGTGATTAGATGAATGAGCTGAGGGTCAATGCTCAGAAATCTACATTTAATGGTGATCTGAAGGAGTTAAAGTTAGTTGCGAAGGAGAGACATATTTTGTTTATTCGGGATGTGAAGAAGGTGAGAGAAGACGTCAATCATAAATTTCAAGAACTGAGACAAGATATGGAGAAAGAGATTGTAAATTTTCGTACTGAATTTGCATCTCTTAATCAAAAGGTGGATATCATATGTGATCCTGTTACTAAATTCGCAAAGTTGTACGAAAATTTGAGTCCTCAAATTGCTCAACTTTCTACAACTGAGAATAAAAATTTCATGGAGGTTTTCTCAATGCTAAAGGATCTTAAAGCTTTATCTTTTGCACCTACTTCGTCTTCTTTATTCTCCTCTGAAGATCTTATCAACAAATTTTCTAAATTTGAAGTGTTGCTTCTTTAGTAGTTGGCTCTTCTTTCCAGAATATCAAGCCTTCTTCCTACCATGGATGCCCCACCCGCTAGCACAGGGGTGCAAGGGGGAGAAAAGAAAGTTAAAGTTTCGAAGGCTAGTGGTGAAGATGCAAAGGTTGTAGGAACGGTGTTTCCTTCCATGATCCTAACATCAAAACCAGTGGTAGCAACTGTTGGTCCTATCACTTCTACAATAGTTACAATTGTGCTAATTACAAGACCAATTTCGAAAGGAATTGTGATTAGTAAATCTATTGATACTGGTAGAAGAGAAGTGATAGAGGAATCTGGTTCGAAGGCAAGGGGAAAGTCAATTCTAATGGAAAAATCTAAAGAAAAGAAGAAGGAAGACGCTGAAGCAGAAGTAAAGAAGATGAGAATGATACAAAGCATCATGACTCAAAGGGACAGTGATCATCTTGGCATGAACATGGGTGATCCATCGAAGAACTACAACTATGAATAAGTTGAAGCCAAGGTTGCATTCAATCACATGTATTCATTTGAGAAGAAGCCTAAACAGAGTTATATTGTCACGAATACCGATGCAAGCCAATTGGACTTTCCAACAAATGAAATGATGTTCATCGTGCCTTAGTTTAAAGCTGAAAGTATATTCAAGGAGAAGGATGAAGGCACACAAATGAAGATAAGATTTCATGTGGTTCTTGCCAAGCCTGCAGAAGAAGTGTGGTCCTTAGTCAAGATTAAAAAGGTCATAAGTATAAGGAAGGATGTGGTCTTCGAAAACACTGTCCAAAACATGAAGTATATTGTGACCAGGGAAAATGGCGTTGTGTGCGAGTTTACAATAGCAAACTTTCCGTTGATGAACTTGTATGATCTTATACAATTTGCATTACTGCCAAAGGAAAGATCATTTTTGTATCTTCAAAACACAGAGCCTGATGAATACAAGTTGGGAGTTACTCACATCAAAATGTTTATCGAAAATCATTATGAATGTCTGGCAATGATAGTTGTGGACTTGGCTATAGCAAAAGGTCTGGAAATTACAGCACCAATGGCTCCTTCGAAGACTAAAGCAAACTTGAAGAAATATGCAGATGGTGAAATATGCTTGAAGCCTTTTGGCTTAGTCTTCTCTGGGAAGGACAAGTCAGCAAAGTCAAAGCTATTTTTGTTCCAGGCAAGTGAAGTTGAAAGATATTATACTTTGCAATATATGAACTTAATTGTTCGTATGAACCATTGCAAGAAGAATAATGAAGGTGAAAAGAAGGAAATGAAGAAGATTATATCTTGGTATACTGAGATACGAAGAGTAATGTTGTACTCCATTCAACTTCTTACAAACTGAAGTCTTAAACTCTGTTTACAAAGGGGGATAATGTAAAAGTAGTTTGGTTGTAAAGTGTCGAAGTCTTATATGTACTCTTCGTATGTTTTGTTATCTATTTTACTAAGGCATATTATACGAAGCTTTGATGTCTAGTTCTTAGTATAGTTTTTGTATGCTTTTACTCTCCTATAAATAGGAGTCTTTACTAGAGTTAGATAAAGTTTTTACAGTCTTGTATACTTTTGCACTCTATAAACCTAAATCGTAATATTGAGCTAAATGACGATATTATTTACATCAGTGTTCAATCTTTCATACGATTTCTAATTACTTAATCTTATTAATATTCAAACTCGATTCTAAGATTCTACAATCTCAGCATGTTCTACTAGCTTCAACTTGGTTCTCTGTCATTCCTAGCATCTCTTCTCATACAGTACTATGAGTGTATTGCTTCTTCAACTAAGCATTCTACCTTACTTAGACAAGCAAGTTACTTAGCCTTTTACCACTAAATGACTTAATTCACCATCCTAATGATGTATGTTAAATTCGGCATAACACACAATGGAACTTCCATAAGGATGTTATAGAAGTCAATCGTCACTCATTATTATTAAATACTAAGTCTGAACATCCTGTATAAGGTTACTACTTAAACTACATACCACATCATAATGTTTAAAACTCGTATTGTCCTATTGAGTCTGAAAACTTCATCAACCTTTCCTTTGGTCTTCATTTAATTCTTCTAAATCTTGTACAACATAAATTGCGATACTACCGATGTATTGATCACCATCTTCGGTTCTTCCGACTCTATAAACAATCATTGCTTCAATCTGGACAACGGTGAAACAACTTCATGGATTGCACCAACACATTTATCTCGTCCAAATGTGTTTCAAACACACATCATTCTTCTAAAGGTGTTATTATTTCATCAAATTTATACTTTAAATGTACAATACCACTCTATTGGTATTAATACACTATTTACGATACCATTTGATAAATATTATTTTACGATATCCCTTGATCGTTTATCTACAAAATTATCGATGTCAACTATCATAAATCTCTTTATTACTTTAAAAGTTTCATGTCAACTCTGTGACAACCTAATATTTCGATTTTATGTAATGACTTAAAAAGCCAAGTATTGTAACCACTTTCGAAAATAATGATATTATCTTTGAAAATAAAATGTACAAAAAGTCTCTATTTTGGTTACCTACCATGTTAGATATCATTAAACCATGAGCGTGCATAAAAAGAACGTCCAAATATGACTTCGTATGAGAAAGTTATGATTTTTCCATGTTCGATATAGCGGTAGACAGCTAAGAAATCGAAACAGAGATCGAGCGACTTTTGGCCGGAATGACCTAAATCAGAGTCGAAGGTCTCAACAATGGTATTTCAACAGTAAATATTCTGGAAAAAACAGACATCGGACAAAGAAGTTATGGATTTCTAACGAACTTTTCTTACCCCGACCTTTTAAAAATAAATAATAAAAATAATTTCAAAATTTGCCAACGGAGTCTAAACGAAAGTTGTAGAGCGTGGTCTCACCTACGCGTGAATATAAAGAACGTCGGAAATGGAGTTCGTATGAAGAAGATATGAATTTTTGACGTTTATTAAATAATAAAAATATAAAATTAAATCAAAATTCGGTATTATTCGAAGGGGGAGTCATCGGCCCAATCCAGGTTATGCCCGGCGTAACAGCGTATGCCCAATGTACATGAGGACTAGGCCTCGGAATGTTCACGTCGCCCCTACGACTCCATGCCCTACCATCAGATCCTTCGTCTGAGGATGCGGTAAGTAGTGACGTAGGAGTACGCCCGCGTAACCCCGTACGGCCAGAGTACCGAGGCGGTTCCCAGCCCCTATAAAAGGCATGCGAGGGTTCCGGGGAAATTACACATTTTTTCTCATCTTTCTTGCATTTTTGCCTCGTTTTCTGTGCACGTGATATCCTGATGTCCCGGTGTGCATACTCAAGTCCCGAAGTTCGTTTGTGCTCCCGAGATTCCCAAGAATCTCAAGAAAAATCCACTTTCTCGAGTCAAAGTTCTGCTTGGTTTTGATCTTGCTTTCTTCGATCTTTCAAGTGAGTTCATACCCCTATAAAATACGTTTTTAAATGTTTTATAAATGCTTTTTATAAAATATTAAGGGGCGGGGGGGGGGGGGGGGGGGGGGGCATGTAAAACACGTGGTTATTATCGTGTGTAACTTAACGATTCACTATATAAACTTTTTATTTAAGTAATCATATGTGATTCATAAACTATAACATGAGTATTCTCGTATGAAATATATATACTTTCAAAGACACCTTGTCTTGTGGAAATAAAACGTGTTTATATATATATATATATATATATATATATATATATATATATATATATATATATATATATATATATATATATATATATACACAAATCAAATGCTCCATTTTACATTAGGTATATGTGAATAGTTAAGTCACTTTACATGTTATACTTTACATAAAGAGTGAGCATTACACTAGGGTTTATTATATGAACGAAACACACTTTGAAAAACTATAATAGGTTTAGTTTACAAGGAAATCATGAACATTTACATACTAGGTACACTACATCAAAGAAAATATTTTCATATACCAGAACAAATGGATATTTTCATACGTAAATCTGTTTTATACTAAATTTTGTGAGACATTTCACGTACTTTGAAGTATGCATTTGAAGTCCTGTATTATATACCATAATCCCTTGTAGGGGGAGCGTGATACTTGTGTATAGATCTATACGGGATGGACAATCCCACACCTAAGATGTTAGCTATAGCTAGGCCGACAGGCCTGGGGTGACAAACGTCATAACTTTCCAACGCCTGAAGA